ACTGCAGACACCAAGATCAGTGGAGAAGGAGGGGGAGGAGGTGGTCCAGGCACCAGAGCAGAGATTCCCCAAGGCATGGCAAGGTAGCCCCTACAGACACGGAGGTCCACAGTGGAGCAGCCCATGGAGGGCCAACACTGGACAGATGGATGCCCAAAGGAGGCTGTGATCCCAGGGGCAGCATGGGACCTGTCGACCCATGGAGAGAGGACCCCAGGCTGGAGCAATTTGCTGGCAAGACTTGTGACCTCATGGGAAGCCCAGGCTGGAGTAGCCTACTCCTGAAAGACTGCATCCCACAGAAGGGACCCACGCTGGAGCAGCTGGTGAAGAACTGCAGCCCGTGGGGAGGACTAATTTTGGAGAAGTTCATGGAGAACTCTCTGGTGTTGGAGGGACCCCATGTTGCAGCAGGGGCAGAGTGAGAGAAGTCCTAGTCCTGAGGATGGAGGGGTAAAGGAGACAACGTGCAATGGACAGACCACAACCCCCATTCCCCGTCCCCTGCACTGCTGAAGGGAAGCAGGTAGAGAAAAGCAGTAAAGTTGAGCCCAGAAAGAATGGAGGGATGGGAGGAAGGTGTTTTAAGATTTAGTTTTTATTTCTCATTATCCTACTCTGATTTGTTCAGTAATAAATTTAACTCATTTCCCCGAGTCAGTTTTGCCCTTGATGGTAACTGGTGAATAATCTCTCCCTGTCTTTATCTTGACCTGTGAGCCTTGTGTTATATCCTCTCCCCTGTCCAGCTGAGGATGGGAGTGACAGAGCGGTTTGGTGGGCGCCTGGTGTCCAGCCAAGGTCAATGCACCACACTGCTCATGAATCAGAAATGTGGTGCCAAGGACTCCAGCTGCCTGGACCTTTTGGACCAGTAGACAAACATGCAGGGCTGGAGGAGCTGGCACTCTGTGGAATTAGTTACATTAGTGGAAAGCAAGAATAAACACTTTAGAGTTTATTTAGGGAATTTAAAGTGAATCTTTGAGGCCTACTTTGCACAGAGGTAAATGACGATGTTACCAGCAAGGCAGAAGCAAATTAGAGTTTGTGATTTTGCAGATGGTGCTGCAGCTTTACACAACAAATATCACAACATAAACTGCCAGTCTTTTTTTCCTTCAGGAAGGTAATTCTAAGGTTCTTTCAGGGGCCTCACTGTTGTAAACAAATTGGAGAGATATCTTCAGCAAATAGTTATAACATGCAGAGTTGTCACTTAATTATATGCTTGAGTTACACTAACATATTGAGTGGCACTAATTGCACCGAAACTAGAATATTACTAACACATAGCTCATCTACAATTTCATTTGTGTACACGGTGTTGTTAAGTAATTTCAATGTCATTAAATATTGGGTTGTCTAGGTATGGATTTCCTAAAAAACCCGTACCTAATACAGCAGAGGCCAAGATCATGGAGAAACATGTCTCATTGTGGAGAAAATCCTAGCCACTATCTCTAAGTGCAAGACTAGTAACTCGCTGTGTAGACCCCCTGAATCTGGCACTCTCTCATGTTGCCAGTGTAATTCCTGCTCTTCTGTAAAACAAAGCACAGTCTGGACAAGCTTACTGGTGAGCATTGTCATTAATAAAATAAAAGAGTGTTCTGCAGGAAATGCTTTTTTATATATTTTTCATACACAATAAAAAGCTAATTAAAAGAGAAAAGGGAAGAGAGCACTTAAAGAAAGGTGAGAAATGTAGTAACTCTGAAGGAAAGGAAAGACCTAAAAGAAGAAAGATGGCCATGAAATTAGAGAGAGATCTTAGGAGTCTGCAAAGGACACTGTAGACAACTGAAAACAAGGACCAAGAACAGAATGCAAAGGACGGCTGAGGAATAAAAAAAAAAAAAAAAAGAAATAAGAGGGAATAGAGAAGAGCAGGTGGTTGCAATGGGATAGGGACAAAGTTCCTGCTGCAGTGAAGATGCTGAAGAAAAGGGAGAAGTCTTGCTAGAGGAATGTGTAAAGCTATCGCCTAGCTTTGTCTTCACCAATCATGTGTTGTCTAAATAGAAAACATCCATTAAATGTTCTTAGTGTCTTTGTTACAGAAGACAAAATAATTAATATACAAGTGTTCAGCCTGTCTGAAGAAGAAGAAATCATGTTGGTCTCTAACTTATTGGACAAATTAGAAGCAGAGGTCCAGAAACTGGCTCACTTCACTAGAATTAATGCAAAGATGCAGAAACTTTCCTCTGAAATTAATCAATGGACTTAAGTTGTCATTTTGCTGCCGTATATATCTCAGAATTTAGGGCTTTTCTTGTTAACTTTGGTGTTAAGCAAAACTTTGAAATGCTCAAGGTCCTCCATTTCAAAAAGTTCAGAAGATCCTTTCTTTTTGCTCTTTGCTCTCCAAGATGATTCTTTTCAACACTCATTAAAATGCACTTTTGAAATGAAATGGCTGATCAAAAAGCATGTTTTTCTCTCCTCAGAATGAAATAGGTTTGCCTGGCTTTAGAACTAGCTTTACAGAAGCATTAAAAAAAGTTAATTCTAATGTTTTGGACAGTACATCCAAAAAAAAAAAAAAAAAAGTTCTAAACCTTCCGAAATTAATTCAACAAAACTAGGACTATTACACTGAAATTTTAGAATGCTGAGCATACAGAGTGCACCAAAAACATTCAACATTTTTGAAAATTGAGTTATTTGTTCAAATTGGTTATTTTATACTTGTGTTTCCTTTTCATATGCAAGACGTACACAAAAATAACTGACAAAACTCAAACATGAAGCAGTATAGTTGGGTTTTTTGTTTGATTTATTTTTTTTCTTCTAATTACTAGCCATGAACATAAACAGAAACTGGGTTCTCTTGATGGAAAGTCTGCTAATGTGTTAAGCAAGAACTAATTGCTATACTATGTTTGCTTTCTTTTGGGACAAAACCCCAGCAGTGTATATTCTTCCATTGTCTTAAGGAGCTAACAAATAAAGTAAAACAACAATTCTATCATATCACTTTTTCAGTAACTGACTACAGCCATGGTTGATTTAAAACCTCTGAAAAACAAGAAAGCAAGAACATGCATATTTTCAGACCATCTGACACTGGCTCTCTATGGGCCAACACTATTTACCAGTTCTGTCCGTGTGCTATTATGTTGCCTGTACATACTAATATAAACCTGTTCTATTACAAGCGCAATTTGTCTTCAGGAATATCTACTGTGAACTGATGGTTCCCTTGATTAATACTAGCTGTAGTGTAGGCTGCAAACTAGCAAAAAATAATAATGAATTATCACCATCCATGGAACCAGTTGTTCCAGCGTATTACACACAGTAATACAGAAATAATGCTATCAAAACAGTTGTTGTAGTGGAACCTTTTAGACCCTTTACCCATATTTGATTCTTCTATTTGCCATTCCTTAATGTAACTTAATGAACAGAGTAAGTTTAAGATGAAACACTAAACGGATTTTCTGGTAACTACAGTCACTTAGCAAAAAGTGTCATGTAACAAAAAGGTTTATAGAAATACTAAAACTAGAAGACTAGTAAGTAATGGTATTCATCGAAAACAACATTATGTAGTGGTAATAAAACAAGGTGCATGTCTGAAATATTTCTACAGGAAAAAACATTCAAACTATAATGAAGACTCACATATACCGTATATTTTACATGCAATTTTAAAATAAGTCTGACATTGAATTTTTGTGTGACTATTCTCATAAACCATCTGCACAAGTCAATCAACTTAATTTCCACCTGAATCTGTTTTAGGAGCTCTTACAAGCTGGAGACACACAGAATATTCAGATCATTCACTTACAAACATCATTCAAATTTCTAAAATCAGTTGCCTATAATCATTTTCTCCTAAGCACTCAAGAGCAATCCATGTGACCATAGGCACATCTCAACTCTCTATCATACTTCAGAAACAAATTTCTTCCAAGATATGATCTCTTAAGGAAATTTGGTCTTGCCAACCTCCTTCACACTGCTCTGCGTTCACAAGCGACAGATGACATTGAAATTTTCCATCTTTCTCATGGCAGGACATACAAGATGTAGCATTTATGTAACCTCATATCAATGACTGCTTAAATGTGATAGGGGGATAGGATGAGCTGAGAGGCAAGGGTACCTGCAATTTCAGTTTCAGCCCCATCTGCAGATTGCCTTAAAGCTGGGCTCGATCAGGTCAGTCCTAATAAGCTTTATCTCTCAGGGTGAACCTCTGCCAAGGTTCACTTTTAAGAATATGCCTGAACTCAGTCCTAGGTGGCTGATTTGAGTGCAGCTCCTTCCACCTACACCCTGTATTAGGGAGTCATGAGAAACTGAACTTAGTGAATTTGCTCCAAATGTGTAAATAAAACCAGCACAATTTGAAAGCAAGCATAGTCTCTAATTGCTAAACAACCTCAAAGGGTTCTGTACACAATATGTTAAAACAAATCAAAGGAAGTCACACTTGATTTCATATTATTTGTTTTCAGTCAAGCCACAAATGTGTAATTAATACCGGAGAAAATTAAATGTCACCTGTTGCCACATCTTTGTGATCCCATGATGTTATTTATAACTAAATCTCTTCTTTTGTCTCACTAAAATTTATATATGAATTTGAAGTTCAGAATGTAAAGTACCAAGAACTTTCAGCCTGGATATTTTTCTCTTTTTGGATACAGATGATTTTTCCAAAGAGTTTGCTTCTTCGCTACTATGGATATGGAGACATATTCCAGAAAAAGTATCTTAGGGAATACCAAATTGGGCTGGTTGACAGTTTAATTTTACATTATTTGGCTGGCCATTTAGTATTATTTACTTCATTTATCAGCTCAAAAGAAACAATGACAGAGAATGTCACATTGGGAATTATCAAGCAAATAAAATTACACTTCAATTAACAAGCTGAAATTAGCTAAGTGATTTGTTGTGCAGTTAATCATGCATGATGAAATCAGCTTATACTCGTTTCTCAGCCTCCAAACCATTATCACAACTACAATACCACATACTGGGAATCTGCTGGATCCTGTGCACGACCACAAATGCATCTGAGAGTCCCACTTTCACCGGGTGGTTGGTTGAACTTATCTGTGTGACAGCGACAGGAATCTGGAAGACAAAACAGGAAGATATGAATGAAATATTGATGTAAAAAAAAAAAAAAAAATCAGACTAAAAATAATAGCACTGAACATTTAATCAGTTTAAATTATAAAATATTTATTTAGGACTTAGACTACAGCATAATATGAATAAGGATATATTGAAGATTGAAATTACTGGTTTTAATTTTTATTTTAGCTCAGTTTGCTTTTCTTCTTATATAACAATGTTCACATCAACATTTAGAGGTGAAAAAAATGTTAATGATGACACAGGAAAGGGTAGTAATTTATTTCCCGCAGTTGAAGACAAAATAGGATGATGGGCTAGTATCAGACAAAGGAGGGGGCAATATCTCTTGTCTACTATTGAACTCACAAACTGTGAAAGTACAGCTTGGGATGAACATTTTCAAAGCTTACGGCTCAGTTATCTTTCACTGAAAACTGTTTGAAGACTTATCTGACGACAGTTCTGGCCAAATGATATTCCTGTTTAATGCGTCTTGGAATAGAAGGGAAATTATCAGTGTCATGGAAAATGTGGGAAATTACAGATGCTTGCCAACATCCACAGGAGGAAATAAAAAGACTTAAATAGCCATAGACCAGTCCAACTTTACACAACAGAGATATTGCTGCTTGGCAACATGGGTGTATGAGAATAGGTGTCAAGTTTGATTTCATTCTTTGGGCAAGATTGTAGCTTTGGCTGATGCTTGTATAGATGTAACAGCTTTAGAATTTTGTAAGGTGTTTGATTTATTGACATGTAGCATTTATACAAAATTAATATAGTTAACTAGACAGACTGCAAACAGCAGCCATCACTAAAGAAGCAGCACAGACTGACAGTGTGTCTTTACAGAATATCTTCCTTTTCCAGATACCAGATCTAGTATGCAAATTTTTACCAAAGACTAAGAAAGAAAAATAAATTTGCTGCAGATGACACTGGCAGAGTAAAAATAATGAAATGCCTGGATCAATTAGCAAAATTAGACCTTGGAGTAATCACAGAGTTCTAACTCAGAGAATGAAGGCTGCAATGCAGAGGTTTGAGGACCATGGTCTAGAAAGCAGCAATTCTGGAAGGAATCTCAGTATTGTAGTGGATGTACAATTCCAGGTTTCAGAAGGAATATCACAACAAGAAAACATAATTCATGTGTTACTTGGTTACACAAGCAGTGGAATATAGCCTGGGAGTGGGATGGTGATTTTATTTGTACCTGCACGAGATCATTACTGAAATATTACAGAAACCTTTGTAAGATCTATTTCTTAAAAAGATGCTGAAAACTTAACAAAAGGAAGATTAAAAGAGCAATAAAAATATTTTGAAAATTTTTGTAATTTTCAGATGTCATTAATAGAAGAGTTAAAGAGCTCTATCTGGCTTCTCAGTGGGAAAATGGAAAGCTGGCTGGATTACCATAACCAAGAACTGCCATGGGGATAAATTACTCAAGGGCTAAAGAGTTTTTTTTCATCTAGCACAGAAAGGTATAACTACAAGCTGCAAAGAGGTACCTTCAAAGTAGAATAAGTCAGGTTTCTATGACAAAATGTTAATAACCACTGGGTTAAACTACCAAGGGACATTATGATTCTCTACCCATTGCTGCTTTCAAATCACTGTTGGATATCTTATTTTCCAAAGCTAACCTTCAGTTAACTAGAAATTACTAGGCTGAAGACAGATGAAACTGGATCAAGTGTAAGAAATTGAGATACAAGGTCAGCTAATCTAATAGCCTGCTCTGGATTTACTTGTGTAAAAATACCAAAATTATACTGTTGGCCAGTATTTTTCACATAGCAAAAAAATGCAAAAGTTAAAAGCTGGTTATGCATCTAGTGAATGAGGATTTGGTACTGCCTACATGTCAATTAATGACATTTCTGTATTTGAGTACAGTGTCAGTATTTGTTCTTCTCCCAGTTCCCAAAATACCATTTAGCTATGTGTCATAAATTCCCATTTCTTTTACTTGATTTAGTGACTGGCTTGGAAAATTTATTTAGGGGTTCTTGCATACATGATCTGATTTGGTATAACAAAAGGAACAATGTTAAACTAACATGAAAAACAGAAATGGCTTGGATATACTCCTAGTAATACATCAGTTTAAATTTGTCTTATATCAGCTTAGCTTTGATGCAGTTATTGGAGAATATGACATAGGAAGGCTGGAAGCCATATTTTCAATGTCTTCAAAATAAAAGACTCACTGAAATCAGAAATAAGCCTATAAACCATCTTCTGTATGAAAGTATAAACAATAAAAGGTAATTATTCACAGTCCTGTAATACTGTAGAGAAAAGCTGATATTAACTATCAAAGAAACTGTCTTAAAAGATTTTGAGGAGGATACTCTAGAGAAGCTATTGAAAAACTATTTAGAAAAAACACTGATGAGATAGACCCAATGACTATTTCTCTTCCAAGTTCGAGGGGAAACACAATAGATGAAGAAAGAAATCAGAGTTTTATGGAGAAATGTAGTTGGAATTGCAATTATGAGCGGGTGTGTGACCAAGAAAATATGCTGGCAAAATTAGTAGCTCAAGGCACAAATTGTGTCTAATACATGAAAAGAATCATACTCATTTTTACATGTGAGTATAAACCAGAAGAAGCTGCATTCAGGTCTCCTTGAAATTTTTTTTTTTTTTCTTCAGAAGGGAGTGAAGGGTTCTTGCAGTACAAATATCACAACTTGTTTGTTAATGGGGTTATTTTAAAATAAATTTGTTTTCATTACAACTTGGTTCAGAGCTTACAAGTCACTTTCAGTTTCACAATTTCATAAGAATTATGAATGACTCAGTGATATTTGCTACTAAAACAAGACATAGTAGCCAAGTTAAACAGAAAATACAAACAAAAACTTCAGCAGAATTTAGAAAATTTTGGAGATGAAATATCTCTGCAAAGTTTTCCAAAATCCCTGCAGGTGTCCACTCTCTTGTGCTGGGCATTCTAGTAAGAGTGAAGAACTTGCAGAATAATTTTCTATAACTAGTAACAAAGTTGTAGTAGGGTACTGTTTAACAGACCGGCAGCTTTAAAAAGCAGCCAAAATTTTGGATATAAGTTTTGGACATAGGGAAACGTTTGTGTAAGGTGAGTTAAGTTAGTAAAGCCAGATCTTCAAACTGAGGTAAAGCCTGCGTCAAACAATTAAGCATACAGACAGAAATGCAGTCAAAGTAGAAGGGAATCCATGACCCAGGAAAAATTTTCTTCTCTTGAAAAACTACAGTGTTATTAAATCTGCAGTTACAAATATATATGCTTATTTTTAAAGTGTGGGAAAATTTGTCATTTTACAGAACTAAATACTTCAGTCATTTGGTGATGAGTGTACTGGGTGTCATTTTATTGGTGAAATCTTTTGAACAAGATCTCAAGACCAAATGGGGTTTTGATCATAGAAAATACGCCTTTTTGACAGAAGGCTTGTAGTAAATGATAAAAAGTTTATTGAAAATTACAGTGAAACATAGGTAGCAAGCAGACAGATAGCGTTCTGAATTCCTCACCTGACTGGCAAGATATGTCATGGCAGGCTGACATGCTAAACAGTTGAACAGCAAGTGAGGAATGTGCAAGCAGTTGCTAATGGTGGCAGGGATTTTACAGAGTTACATTCAGAGAATAGATTTTATCTAGAATAATTCCCAAATGTATGTCAGCTCTACCACAGCCAATATGAACTCTTACGTTCTAAAAGTTACCAGTTAATGAAAAAGCTTCCCAAACACACATTAGCGCTGGGGCCACTGACATCCATATTTTGAATTATATATTTCAACAGTAGGGAGAAACATATTTAGAATTCATACTGAATTCTATTAATCATTGGGAACAGTAATCTAGACAGTATTTTACATCAAAGAGTTCTCAAAAGTCGTTATTTTTAACTTTATCTGAGAACACATCAGAATCTTACCCTTCACAAAAGAATAAAATAATGGCCTCTGACCTTATTCTGAAGGAGATGGTAAGCAGGGTGCAATTACTGCCCCACTTCAAAACTGAGTCAAAGATAAGAGCCAGAGTATGCTGCAAAATAATAATTAACAACACAATAGCACTTAATAGGGTTTTCATTGCCAGTTTCCTAAATAGTTATTAATTACAGGCCAAACTGCATGAAACTTAATCAGGAATTTTAAGGTGCATAAACTGATAACCACATGAAATCAAAGATCCTTTTTCCATGTTCATATTTTTGATAATAATAACAGAATCAAAGAAATGCCAGAAATGTATAATGTAGACAGAATATCCATGAAGACTGTGCCTTTTTTTTTTTTTTTTTAATTTTTCAGGAAACAATCACAAGGTTTGGAATCTGAAAACAGAGTATTATCCATCACATACCAAAAGCATCAGTTTTATCTAACTACTAGTACTTAATCAGTTCCATCCAATTCTGCCTCCTTTCACGGTAGAAAGAAATTCTACTACAAGTCTCTTTTAGAATTATTTTACAGCTTCACATATTGGACAATTTGAACATGCATTTCAACTTCAATAATAGTTTCTGGATGTCTACATAAATACAGAGTCGTTATTATTTAAATGAACAAAGAAAGCCTTCAAGTCAATAAAATTAAGAAAAATATCCAAAACTCTTAACAAAGCCTTGGGTACCTATGCCTAATTCATCCTGTATTAATCATGAACAGAAAAAGAAATCAAATGCTACACTAAGGCACATTAGCTATAAGCACTAATGGGAAAAGAGTGTGCAGAATAGTTATTTGGTTCAAAAGGAAGTAAAGCTCTTGAGAACTGAAGTTCTGAGAAATTTACAATGTAAGAAATGAGTGTTCATGGCTAATCCATAAAAAAGTATGTTCTGTTGGCCAGTTTGCACTGTAATGTATTTCATACATAGTAGATGTACACAAAATTTTCCTGCCAGCTGATATTTGCTGACATATTGACCATTTGCCAGAAAACTAACAGTTGGTGTAAGCAAAATTATATTTAAAATGGAATGTGTATGCACTGTAAACAAACTAAATTGGTAATGAAATAAATATTTCTCCTGTTATGGGACCTTGCTATATTTCAGGTTGGTTGTACATTTTGAAATCTTGGCTGTGCTGTTCCTTCTACTAACCATTAACTCTTCTGAAAGATACTCTGATGTTTCCAGATTTCACTCTCTCGGTGGCTCAGTTCTTTTTCTAAATTAATTTTTTTTTCCAGAATCTATCCTGGAATTTAGATAACAGTTGTGCATTTCAAACTGCTTCCTATTGGGCAAGCAACAGAACACAGAAGATTGGGCAGAACAGCTGCTTTGATAGCAAACACCAGCCAAGATCCTGCCTTGCTGGTCAACACCAGGTTTATGAGTTAACCAACCTGATGTGGGAGCAGGAAGGACATGAAAAAGGGAACCTCAATTGTTTGAATAAACAGGAAATGAAAGGTAAACACCTGAATTGCTTTAGAAATAAAAGTCCCTATTTGTTGCTTGCTTACATGTATAATCAAAGTTATTTTACAAGTGGATTACTCAAGATAGACTCCTGGTGTCACTAATACAGAACCCTTGTGAGACACTTTATAAAGTTAACCTGACACCTGTCTGCTGCATTTCTTACGTGGTGTTACAGCTTGGAATCTTTCAGTGACAATGCAATGAAGACCTTGCTGATTTGCCATACATCACTGTCATTTTTGATGAACTGTGATGCTAAAATAAAATGGTACCAAAAAGATGGTAGAAATCTTCTCATGTAAGTTTTACTCATGCTAGTGAGCACTCACACAAGTAATCTTACTGGAGTTAATGGGGCTCCTAAAAACATGACTCACCAGTAAGGGAAACGATTCTAGAAAGAACTTCCTAAGAAAGCAATGGATACAAAACTGGAAAGTAAATCAATTCCTAACCAGACTTATAAGCATTGGAGTCAAGTTTAAAGATTCAAATGTCTCAGGGTTTTTTTTTTTTTTTTGGTTGGTTTTTTTTTTCAGACAGCTTGTGTCTGCTTGGTGATTGGAAATTTTATTCAATTTTCATCATTTAGGTGAATAGCTGAGGTACTTTTAATGGAGTAAGACAGGCTGCAAAAGACAGTAGTCTTCCGGAAATCTCAGCCTCCAAATCCATTCCCCAAGCAATTACAATGGAGTCCACTAGTTATAACATTCTAAGATCTTACAAAGATCTTTTGTTAAAGGATTGTTAGTATGTTACTATTACCACATTAAAAAGTCTTTTTTCTTAATTATGTGCAACAGTTCTGAAGTGACGTTTGGTAATTCCATTTAGAACAAGAAAAACTCATATATTATCCCATTTGCAAATTCCGATTCCTTCCATCTCAGGATTAATGAAAAGAACATTAATAACTCTGCCCCTCAATAGCACTGTGGTTCTGGAGGCAGCTTTGAGTAGTGCAGCGAGAGGAAGCAGCCTAAGCCATCGTAGCACAGAACTTGTTTATCCACAGATTAAATGACAAAGTTGCATGTAAATCTAGGGACTCACATGTGATTAATGAGGTGGCCCATTTCCTCCTGTCTTCCTAAATGAATAAAATATTCCATTTCCTGGTATTCTGGACCATTATTTACATTTATGCAAGATACTATCAATTTAGAACAAGATCTTTTATCGCACATATTAGACTCATTTTGCACAGGCCTGGACAGTAACAGAAAGGACATAGCTCCTCATAAGAATAGTTGTCTTCTGAAAATGTCACCATTTTAATGATAGAATGCATATATAGAACTTTCCAAATTCATCTTAAAGTCATGTCCCTCCCCACTTCTCTGGGTCTTGAAGGCAGAAACTTTTCTGCAGTCTTTAAAAAGTTTGGTTTTTTCTTTAAAAAGGTTTCAACAACAGGAGATAAACACAGCTTTGGTGCACACTCCTTTGATCGAGCACAGACTCCATTGTGCCGAGCAGAGCAAAGCTTTCACGAAGCTGGAGTCAAAATGCAAATAAACTGCATTTTCATAGATTAAGACTACTAACCTGTGCATAACATTCATGAACAGAACCAAAGCAGACCTTGCATCAGCATGCCTTGTATAGACATCTGTCTTAGGTGAAGCTATGACTACTGCGTGTAGAATAACCCAGATCCTCACTAGCTTTCTAATGAAGGGGAGAGGACTACTAGTATTTTTGTTTCAATCAGGTGCATGGCTTCAGCACAGGCATGAAAAATGAGCCTGAAGGCTCACAACTGGTGTGTAGCAGAGAAGGAAGAGAACCCAGATTTCTCCCAGTCTGGATAATCAGCCATATGACTGGTTAAATTTTTCTAATAGAAGGAGAATAATAGATGTACATCTTGAAGAGAAAGTCACACTTTGCATGCCAAACTGTAATTAAAATAACCAAAAAAAGAAATAAATTGTTCTTTGTCCTTAGAGACTTGAGATTATCTACCTTCTGATTCTCATTTGCATGAAATTCACCTGGAGGTACAGCCTCTAGGATATAGCCTCCAGGACTCTAGAAACAATAGGGAAAAAAAAAAAAGAAAGAAAAACAAACAAACAAACAAAAAAAAAACCACCAACACCTTCCAAACAAAAAAACCCATGTAACTAAAGTATTGATTAAAATTCCAAAACACTTGGAGAATGCAGAAGAGCCCAACCAAGACAACAACAAATTGGTGCTATGAAGGCAAACCAAAAGAACTCATTCTAACCTGTGTTAGCACCTCATGGAAAACCTCACAGAGCTAGCGATACAAACCAGTTATTTCTTCTTTGAAATATGTGAACTTTGAAATATGTCAGTTGAAAAGAGATGATAGCTACAGGGAAAAGATGATCTTTTAAAACCAACCACTGATTCTAGAGAATTTTCAAACAAACCCAGATTAAGTGAACTAATTAAGCAACTTAGACCCTAGCTTTTCAAGAGGAATTTTCTAGGCAGTCAAGTCTACTAAACGCTCAATGCTTAATATCACCCAAAAAAGACCAGGAGTAGCATATTTGAGGATGTTGATGGTTTTCAAGTCCATCACACAAACATCACATCACTTTTACAATAAAATGTCATTTTCAGCACAATAGTGATCTTTTAAGCAATATAATGAAATGATCTTATGTAGTTGAACTTACAAAACTCCACTCAACACACACCCTGCCCCCCTCCC